CTTGGTTTTCATGGGCATGCACGATTTGAAGTGCCCCTACCTGTTCGAGCCCCTGCTCTCCGAGGCCATCTCCGAGTGCACCTGGGCTGGCGACGCAGAGGCCGACGAAGATGATAAGTCGCTGGGGGCCGACCGCAAGGGGAAAGCCAAGGCGAAAGGCAAGATGATAAAAGGCAAAATGAATGCCACAGCCTGCAGTTCTGGCGGCGACAACGAGGACCTGCTGATCAAGCTCGCGGACTTGCAGGCCCAGGCGAAGAACGGCAAGCGCAAGCGGGGGCCTGACGTCGACGGGGCTGAGGGCGCCGATGATGAGGAGGGCGAGGAGGGCGACGCCGTGAACGAAGGTGAGAGCTAAGTGACTCCTCGTCTTCAGAGTTTTTGCCTCTGCTTTCAGAGAGTTTGCCTAGGGAGGTGCCTGGCCTCGTCACTCGCCTGGCTTCTCGAGGAAGCTCGGTGGCGGGGCGATCGGCGGCGAGAACACTCGTGCCCAAGGAGCGCTCGTCGCTAGGGTACGGAGGAGGAGGGAGGAGGAGGATAACGAGGAGGGGGGATGTAGATGACGCAATCAAGATACGATGAAGATGAGGAGGAGGATGAGGATACTGAGCAGTAGGATGATGAACGCAATGATGAGGCGAAGGAATATGAAGAACTACAGGATGTAGAAGGAGGGCGAGGGAGATGAGGAGGAAGTTGATAAGGAGGAGTAGGCAACAAAAAAAAACAGGAGAAGGATGAGGAAGATGAGGGGAAAGAGGAGGATGAGGACACGACGCACCGCCGCCCCGCGCTCGTCGCCTGCCGCACCGCTGCCCCGCGCTCGTCGCCCGCCGCGGCGGCTCGGTCGGCTGGCCAGTTGTTGTGCCGCGCCGGCGGCGACACTAGAAGAGATGAAACAATAGAGAAACAAAAACAACAACGTCAGAAGGACGCGCGAACCTACACGTCGAGCCTCCAGCCTCAAGAAGCTCCCAGGAGGCCACACTAGGCCCCCAAGAAAGCCCGAGATGCCCCCGGGAGGTACCACGAGGCCCCCGATAGGCACATAAGAAGCCCCGCGAACCCCCCCAGACGGCCCCAAAAGGCATCAAAACTGCCTCCGCGAGGCCTCCGAGAGGCCCCCCCGCGATGTCCCAACGAACATCCAGGAGGCCTCTAAGCCAAAACCCAGGCACGGCGGTGGCGGGATGGGCCGAAAGCCACTACTAGATATTTGACCCGCGGAGGCGCCGCTGAGCCACCGCCCAGGGGGGCGTTCCCCTTTTCATGCCCTTCTTGGGGCCGTCTTGGGACCTCATTTGGTGATTTGGGGCGCCATTTTGGTCGTTTGGGGGCCCAGCGGTTGGGATCACCATCATCATCATCATCATCATCATCATCATCATCATCCCCATCATCACCATCATCAGCATCACCATCATCACCTTCATCATCATCATTGCAACCATCAGCATCATCACCATCAGTCTTCTTTACACCATCATCATCACCATCATCGTCATCGTCACCATCATCATCATTACATGGTGGTAGGAGGGAAGAAGCAACCTGGAGATGAGCGGCGGCGGCGGTGCAAACTCCCAGGAACTCCTGCCTAAGCCTGGTTGGTTGTTATTGGCGCCTCCGGTGGAGCTCCTATGGGGCCGCGATCCTCGCGAGGGGTGCGCCGAAATGACCCGAGGCCGCCGCGCGCGCTACTGGCGCCTTCGGTGGAGCTCCTATGGGGCCACGATCCTCGTGAGGGGTGTGCCGAAATGGCCCGAGGCCGCCATGCGCACTTTGCCACTGGCGCTTTCGGTGGAGCTCCTATGGGGCCACGATCCTCGCGAGGAGTACGCCGAAATGGCCCGAGGCCGCCATGCGCGCTTTGCTACCGGCGCCTTCGGTGGAGCCCCCTTATGGGGTCACGATCCTCGCGAGGGCGATGATGATGATGATGATGATGACGAGGATGCGAGGAGGAAGGAGGGGGGGGGCAGCGGGAGGAGGAAGAAACGCGGGGCGCCGTCTTTTCAAAACGAGGACCCAACACCACAGGATGGTTGGGACAAACTAGCCTGGCGAAGGACCCAACCGCATGCACTTGTGAATGCCGCAATTGTGAATGCCATCTTCGCCCGCGCCCCCTGTGTGGCCGCGGCTTCCTGCCGAGGCCCTTCGTGCTCAGGAACGCGTTCGTGGCCGTTTTCGCGGGCGCCGACGACGACGGGGACGGCGCCCTTCTGACCGAGCAGCAGCAGCAGGACAAAGCTTTGAGAGCCATGAGGGAGGAGGTGGCGTTGCACGTCGACAAGGCGGAGCACGACGCCCAGGCGCGGTTGTTGAAGCAACGCAACTTAGGGGCCGCGATCTTGATGAGGGGTGCGCCGAAATGGTCCGAGGCCGCCATGCGAACCCTGCCATTGGGGGCCTTCGGTGGAGTTCCTCATGGGGCCACGAATCCCCGTGAGGGGCGTGCCGAAACGGCCCGGGGCCGCCATGCGAACCCTGCCAAAGGCGCTTTCGGTGGAGGTCTTATGGGGCCGCGATCCTCGTGCGGGGTGTGCCGAAATGGTATGAGGCTCCTATGCGAAACCTGCCACTGGGGCCTTCGGTGGAGTCCCCTATGGGGCCACGAACCTTCTTGAGGGGTGTGCCGATATGGCCCGAGGCCGTCGTGCGAACCCTGCCCGCGGGGGCTTTCGGCGGAGCTCCCTGAGGGGCCACGATCCTCGAGGGGTGTGCCGAAATGGCCCGGGGCCGCCATGCAAACCTTGCCAAAGGGGGCCTTCGGTGGAGCTCCCTATGGGGTCACGATCCTCGTGAGGAGTGTGCCAAAATGGCCCGAGGCCGCCATGCGAACCCTGCCACTGGGGGCTCCCGGTGGGGCTCCCTATGGGGCCACGATCCTCGTGAGGGGTGTGCTGAAACGGCTCGAGGCCGCCATGCGAACCCTGCCCGTGGGGGCCTTCGGCGAGCTCCCAATGGGGCCACGATCCTTGCTGGAGCTCCCTACCGGGCCACGATGTTCGTGAGGGGTGTGCCGACATTGCCTGAGGCGGCCATGCGAACCCTGCCAGTGGCGCCTTCGGGGGAGCTCCCTGCAGGGCCGCGATCCTCGTGAGGGGTGTGCCGAAATGGCCCGAGGCCGCCATGCGAACCCTGCCACTGGAGCCTTCGGTGGGGTTCCCCATGGGGCCACGATCCTCGTGAGGGGTGTGCCGATATGGCCCGAGGCCGCCATGCGAACCCTGCCAGTGGCGCCTTCGGCGGAGCTCCCAATTGGGCCACGATCCTCGTGCGGGGTGTGCCGAAATGGTATGAAGCTGCTATGCGAAACCTGCCTCTGGGGTTTTCGGTGGAGTTCCCTATGGGGCCACGAATCCTCTTGAGGGGTGTGCCGAAACGGCCCGAGGCCGCCATGCGAACCCTGCCACTGGAGCCTTCGGTGGGGTTCCCCATGGGGCCACGATCCTCGTGAGGGGTATGCCGAAATGGCCCGAGGCCGCTATGCGAACCCTGCCAGTGGCGCCGTCGGCGGAGCTCCCTACGGGGCCACGATCCTCGTGAGGGGTGTGCCGATATGGCCCGAAGCCGCCACGCGAACCCTGCCAGTGGCGCCTTCGGTGGAGCTCCCCATGGGGCCACGATCCTCGTGAAGGGTGTGCCGATATGGCCCGAGGCCGCCATGCGAACCTTGCCACTGGAACCTTCGGTGGAGCTCCCTATGGGGCCACGATCCTCGTGAGGGGTGTGCCTATATGGCCCGAGGCCGCCATGTGAACCCTGCCACTGGAGCCTTCGGTGGGGCTCCTTATGGGGCCACGATCCTCGTGAGGGGTGTGCCGAAATGCCCGAGGCCGCCATGTGAACCCTGCCACTGGAGCCTTCGGTGGTTTCTTCTGGGGCCACGAAGCGTTATACTTGATGGGTGAAAAGCAGGGAGGAGGAGGAGGAGGAGGAGGAGGAAGAGGAAAACGAGGAGTGGAATGAGGAAACGCGCGGCACCGTGTCTTCAAAACGAGGACCCAACACCACATGATGGTGGGAACAAACAGTTGTGGAAACCCGTCCGGGAACACTTGGGGGAGGATGGCGGGGGAAGGTGACTGGGTTTCTTGGGGGTTTTTTGGAGGCAGCATGGAGGCCTCCTTGCGCCTCTTGGGGGCCTGGGGGGCTTCGTTGGGGCATCGTTGGCCGTCTTGGTGGGCCCCTGGCCCGTCTGACGCCGTCGGAAGCCGTCTTGGGGGCCTCTCTGGGCCGACTTGGGGCCCTCCTGGGGTGCTCCAGGGCCGTGTTGGAGGCCATCTTGGGCGTCTTGGAGGCCTCTAGGGGCTGTCCTGGGGGCCTCTTGGGGGCAGTTCTGGGGCCATCCTGGAGGCCTCTTGGGCGCTCTTTAAAGCGATCTTTGGGGGCTCTTGGGCCGTCTCGGGCCGTCGATGGCCCTGATCAGCTAAAAACCTTCCTCCTCCTCCTCCTCCTCCTCCTCCTCTTCCTCCTCCTCCTCCTCCTCCTCCTCCTCCTCCTCCTCCTCCAGATGATTTGGGCCTCTTCGGGCCTTCCTGGAGGCCCTCTTGGAGGCCGTCTCCTGGGGCCTCTTGGGGCCTGCGTCTAGAGGTCTGCCTTGGGGCGGTCTTGGGGGCTTCCTGAACCATCCTGGAGCGTCGGAGAGTCGAGAAGACGAGGACCCCAAACTTCTTCAACAACCTGTTGTAAAATCGACGGTGTTGGCCGCTTGGGGCTCTCTCGGGAGGCTTCTTGGAGCGCTTTGGGGGCCTCTTGGGGCCCTCTTGGGCCTTGGAGCACTCCGGGCCCCGGCAATACGAACATGGTGTACTTTGCGAAGGTTTATGGCTACGTGGACGTGGATATTGTATAATCTACCAGGGTGTGTTGCCTTGGGGAAGCAAGAACTGAGCAGTTTCCGATGGTTTGTGGATTCGGGGTCGCGAGCATTGTATACTTTACAACGGCTTGTGGCTGTAAGTCGGGCCTGCCCCCTACAGGGGGATTTTCGACGAAAAATACACAATGCCCCAAACATAGTGGAGGAGGGGTGAGAGTCCGCAACCATTTTGGCTCAAGCCGCGGGCAAAGTAGTCGAAAGAGTCCTCGCGACCTCGCGGCCCAGGGAGGGCTGGGCGTGCAGTACAGGGTCATGAGCGGCACAGGCAATGGCCCGAGCAGATCTCCGAGCCCGCCACAATGGGAGCGGCGCAACGGGGGCCCGTCGCCGCGCAGACCTGGGAGTTCGCTATCAGCGGAGCAGCGCAACGCAAGCCCGTCGCCGCGCAGATCTGGGAGTTCGCTATCAGCGGAGCAGCGCAACACAAGCCCGCCGCCGCGCAGATCTCAGAGTTCGCTATCAGCGGAGCAGGGCAACAGAAGCCCGCGGACGCACCGCTCCCCGGACCCGGACCCTCCGGCGCCTGAGGGCGTGGCGCCCAAGGATGTCTCCATGCCGGCGAAGATCTGCTACAACTTCCTAGCCTTCTACGCCTACTGGTTCGGCGCCGCGCGTTTTGACATGGACGGTGATGGTGATTTCGACGCAGCGGACGTGCAGGCCATGATGAACAAGGGGGGTTCGGCGTTCATGCTCAACTTCTCGCGGCCAGTCACAAGCAAGAAGGCGAAGGAAGCGCGCCGAAAGAAGGTTGAGGCGAAGAGGAGGCAGAGAGAAGGTCAGAGTATCGGTAACCAGGTCGAGGCTCAGGAGGAGGCTCAGGAGGACGAGATCTGGCAGTTCTGGCCCTGGTTCACCATCATTCAGGCGGCCTTGTGCCTCGGCTTCTGGGGCCTGAACGCGTTCAACACGAGGGCCTACGAATTAATGCAGTGGGACAACGTTATCACGGACGACCTGAAGCTGACACGTTTTCGCAAGGATAACCCGAACGAGCAGCTGTTCCTTGACGATTGCAAGAAAGGGTGCAGCGCTGCCGACGAGGCGTGCGTGGGCATCGGCTGGAAGGATGGGCCGTTGCCCGAGTGCTTCCTGCTGAGCTCGCTGCCGGAAACTGATCCCACATATCTGCCTTGCCAGAAAGACGCGTGGGGCTGGCGTACCTACATGAAGAAGACGTGGACCCCCTCCGACATGTTCTTCACGAAGGGAGGCGTAGAGTACATCTGGCCTGGGTTCACCACCCTGGCCGCCTACAGCTACTGCCATGACGGCTACGACATCAGCTTCCTGTGGAGGTGGTGGAGCTACCAGTTCACGCACGGCAGCATCCTTCACGTTGGCGCCAACTGCTTCATGTTGATCATACTCGGCATTCCCTTGGAGGGCTGGCAGGGAACAGGCATGCTCGCTGTCATTTGGACCATCGGGGTTCTAGGCGGGGCCCTCTGCTGGGCGCTCTTCGACCCCTACACCACCTCGTACGGCGCCTCCGGAGGATGCTACTCCCTGCTCGGCATGCACGCCGCAGACCTGATTCAAAATTGGGGCGCCAAGAAGTGGCGCTTCAGTACAGTATTAATCATGCTTCTGGTCGCCGGTGTGGAGTCTCTCGCCTTCTGGGCTTTGCGTGACGAGGAGAGTTCTACGGCTCACACTGTGCACATTGGTGGCATCGTCGCTGGGCTCCTCATCGTCTTCACGACCGGCCGCAACGACCGCTGGAGGATGGACGACTACGTGTGCTCCGCGATTGCCTGGGCCGTGGCAGCCATCCTCGTCGTCGGGAGCATTTACTTCTGGTTCTTCTTCAACGAGCACCCCGGCATCGCCAGCTTGACTATGGAACGCCCTTTTTGTTGGATCGGGTATGTGTGCATCGGCGATGATGGCAACCACTGCCCGCTGATAGACGACATTAACGATCGTACGACGAACGCCGGCTCCTACACGAACACGTTGAGGCAGTGCGTCATGTGCGACACAAGGGACTGCGTGGAGGGTTGGTACAGCGACACCTACGAGGTCACCACCGCAGGGGTGACCACAGAGCACTATAAGTATTGCCCGACTGAGGCGTCGCGCAACTACTGCACCTTCACCACCGGCGACAGCTTCGACCTATGGTACCCTCCGACCAAGAGCGCGTACCAGCTAGCTGACTGACACGCTTGCGCCGTCACCTGCGCCGACGCCTGCACCGACGCCGACGTGAATGGTTGACCGGCAGGCCCCTCTGCCTTGCGTGCCGCCACAATTTGTCGGCGCCATTCGTCCATCGGGAGGGGCTGTTGTGGAAGAGCCAGGGAGGAGGAGCGAGCCGAAAAGTGCTAATGTGTATGGTCCGTATGCCCGCTGTCTTTTCGCCCGGGGAGCCCGCAGGCGCGCTGTAAAATCGGACGCGCTCTCGGTCTATGGCTGGTGGGTTTCGCCCAGAGACGTATCACCCAGAGACCGAGCGGATAAGGATGGTGAGAGGGGGTGAGAGAAAGCGGAGAAGGAAGAGCGGGGGATGAGGAGGGTCCATGGTCCCGGTCTTGGCAAAGTTGTGCGGAGGTGTAGTAGTTGCATCCATGACCGCGAGCGTTGCCCCACCCGCTTTCTTTCTGAGGACTCGGACCTGTGTTTCGTAACTGCTTGGTTTTGACAGCTGCGCCGCCCACCAGGCAAGGCATGCGCGCACTCCTGCTTTTCTCCTCCATGCCCCAACGTGCTGCGTGCTGACGCGCGCCCGTGGGGCCACGGACGAGCGGGGCGGCAGTCTGAGGGGCCACGGCCGCGGAGGCCTCACGGACAAGGGCTTGATCTTGCGGGTTTGTTCATCTATGATTGCCTCGCCGACGCATGGTGGCCAGAAAGAGTTCGCACTGCCTGACATGCTGCCCCGAAGCTGGATGCTACGAGGCTTGCATAATTAAGCATGTCTGTCTGTCCCTCGCCCATGGAGAGTCGTACCTCCGGGATGGCAGAATAGCTCGCTCGTGAGGAAAAACGCAAACGTAAATATCCCCGTCTTGGGCTGCTGCACATTCTGCAACGCTCACCACTTTGGCGAGCGGCTTTGAGATACAGCGGAGTGGAGTTTTAAGCAGATCCAATCTGGACCTCCCCTCCCTGGGCGCTGCCAATTGCGCAGCCGTCGCCAATTTCGTGAGCCCCTGAGAGGTCTGACGGGGTGGCGTTTTACGAAGATTCAACATCGACCTCCCTGTCTTGGGCTGCTGCCAGCCGCGCAGCGATGGCCATTTGGGCGAGCTACTGGGATGTCTAGCGGAGTGACCTCTCACGCGGAGCCAACCTAGATCTCCCCCCCCCCCTGCGCTGCCACGCGCAGCGGTCGTCACTTCTGTGATCTCTTCAGAGGTCCAGCGGAGTGGCGTCTTACGCGGATCCACCCTAAACTTCCTTTTCCTGGGCGGTGCCAACTGCGCAGTTATCGCCATTTGTGTGAGCTCCTGGGAGGTCCAGCGCAGTGACGTCCTGCCAGGATCCACACTAGACGTTGCCATCCTGAGTTGTTGTCAACTGCGCAGCGGTCGCCATTTTGACGAGCTCGTGGGAGGTCCCGCGAAGTGGCGTCTTTCGCGGATCCAATATGGACCTCCCTTCCTTGGGCGGTTCTGATTGCGCAACTGTCGCCACTTGTGCGAACTATGACAAACTCGTTGGGAGCGGTGTTGCGTCTTACGCGGATCCAAGCTGGGCTTTCTGGTCTCGGACTTTTGCCAAAGGCGCAGTTTTCACATTGTTCATCAACTCTTGGGATGTTCAGCCGTCCTACGCTGATCCATGTTAGGCCTCCCCCCACCTGGGCTGATGCGACCTTCGCAACGGTCTCCGATTTGTCTGGGAGATCCAGCAGGACGGCGTTTTACGCGGATCCGAGCTAAACCTGCCCCCCCAGGGCGCTGCCAGCTGCACAATTGTCAGTACTTTCGCGAACTCCTGAATGGTCCAGCGGAGTGGCTCCTTACGCGGGTTCAAGCTAGATTTCCCCTCTGCTCTCTGGGCTGATGTATCAGCGCAGCCGTCGCCACTTTTGCGAGTTCTTGATAAGTCAGCATCCTCCTTCCCACTCCCTCATCCATCCATCCATCCACCTCCCCCTTTTCCTCCTCGCTCATTTGCACGGTTCGGCCGTCCTCCTCTTTGCTGCCGCACTTCCCTGATCACCTCAACTCGCCTGGACATCGTTTTTGGATGGGCTGGTAGGGATGCTTCTTGTCAGCGGCCGCAGGAGAGCGCGCCAGCGGCGAGTCCAGTCAAAGCGGGGCACGCAGCGGCACATTCACCTAAAGCAACGGGGCGCAGCCTCACCTAAAGCGGCAAGGCGGAGCCTCACGCAGCACCTCAGCGGCGGACCGGCGAGTGGAAGAGGCTGGCTGAGATTGAGTCGTACTGCCAGCGTGCAAATATGCAAGGCGTCGGAAGCGTCGGGTAGCCGGGAGGAGCGGCGACCAGGGACAGATGCCGAGTAATTAATGCAAGGGTACGAGACCCCGGACAATTGCGAGAGTACCAGGGTGGCCGCAGCCAAGGACCGACAGTCGGTAGTCTAATTGATGCCCGGTGTGGGCGTGAGCGTTTGCAGGCTGCAAGGAACCAGGGAGGCCTAAGCCGCAAGGCCCGATGCAGCGGAACAAACGAGTACGAGAAGCAACCAAGCTGCCGCGCGGCCAGAATAGCGCGGGTCGACACGTACAAGTGCGTGACGTAGCGCCTGCCAAGGCGCCCACCAAGAACCCTGAAGAGGACCACGAGCCCGTAGTCAGCACATTGGAAGTGGCGACAGGCGGGCACTGACACCATGGGAGAGACCCGGGACTGAAGCCAGGGTTGCAACCGCGGCGTGGCAGGAGCACGGAAAGTCAAGGCCAGGCCACAGACGTCGTGGGCCCCGTCGAGGGGGGGAAGAAACCGCAGTTTGGGCGGAACAGCGGGACGCCAGTGCGGTGGGGGACGACACCACCGAACGGCGTGGATAACGGGGGCAAGCCGATGGGGGGGGACCCCGACTTGGCGGTCCACCCGGAGGCGCGGGGAAGGGACGCGCCAGGAGCGAGAACAATTACAGCAGGCCAGAGGCCGATGGGGGGCAGGTGGACCACAGCCCCAGCGGTAGCCCACGAGCCAGTATTGTCAGCAGGCCATTGCCCGAGTTCCCAAGGGCGGGGAGCAGCGGGGGCTGGGCAGGGAGTGGTACCAGGGAAGGAGCACTGCCTGCAAGTCAAGTGACGGCCACAGCAAGGACTGCAGCAGACGCGTCTAGGGTGAAACAGCTGGGGGACAGGTGGACCACGGCCCTGGCGGTGATCCACGAGCCAATATTGTCAGCAGCTCGTTGCCCTTGTTCCCGAGGGTAGGGAGCAACGAGGGCTGGGCAGGGAGTGGCACCAGGGAAGGAGCACTGCCTGCAAGTCGGACGTCGGCCACCGCGAGCGCTGTGGGAGTCGCGTCTAGGGTGATACAAGCGGGGGCCGCCGTCGGAGGCCCCCGCCCAAGCCACCGTGCATGTGCGATGCCAGCGGTCCAAACCAGGGTGGCAGACGACCAGTGCATGCTGACTAAGAACAGGAGAGCGAAACCTTTGGCCTAACGGGCCCTATGTTTGGTGAGAAGAGTGATCATATCGAACCGCGTTCTTTCGTGGCCTAACGGGCCCTATTTAAACTTGAAGAAGCAAAGGCACAACCCCGGCGAGCCCTGCAGACCTGAGGACCTGCACCACTTGGAGAGGATAGTTGCGGTCGGCTGCCCACTGGGGCGCCAGGACGGCGTCTGGTCAGGTGCGTCGGGGCAGGTTCGGCTGGTAGCCGTCGGCGGAGCCAAACAGTGCAAGCAGAGCGCCCGTGATCACGGCGCGGCGCGGCGGGACCCGACGGTGTAGGGGGTTGGGGCGTCAACGCCATGCACGGGAGCGCTTGTCCCCTCTCCCGTCACTGCTGTCGTCGCCGCCACGTTTGCCCGCAGCCTGCCAATCGTCGCCGCCCCAGGCCTGTGACCACCGTGAGTCCCAGACCCAGGGTTGGCGGGAGCTTGTGGCGTATCCCTTGTGTTGTGGGGTGCTGGTGCCCTGGTATCCTGACCACTTGTCGCGCTCGCGTTCCCATCTGACCTGGAGCCCATGTTTGCGGTCCATCTCGTAGGCATCATACCAGCAGCGCTTCCAGGCGTCAAGGAAAGCACCGCACGTGCCTTCAGGGTTCAGCGCAGCATGCGGGTGTAGGCATGCCAGACGATGCTGAACACTCCCCCCGGGGTCTTTTGGAGACGGGAGATCTTGGCTGAGGGTGTTTCCGTGGTCTTGTCGAGATCGATATTGCCCAACCGTTTCTTGCACACGGGACCCCCTCCGATGGGATCGACAAGGTCGTCGAAGACCCGCTTGGAGCCCCATTCGCGGGGGTTGGCGAGCGGCGGTCTCGAGCCGGCTGTTTGGGGTTGGGCCCGGGGGCCTGGGGCGGGCTGACTGGAGCTGCCTGGCTGGAAGTGGCGATCGCGCCACCCCGGGGGGGAGGGGGGGCGACGGTCTGACGCTGCTGCTGGGGAGCTGCTGTCCGCGGGCTGGCAAGCAGGTGAGGGTTGCCTCTGCAGGAGGTCGCGCGTCACCTTGGGCGGTGGGCTGGCGCTGACGTTGCCACTGCCTGCTCGTCCGCCTGCCTGTCGAGCACCCTCTCCGCTCGTGCCCGTGCACCAGCCTCCACAGCCCGCCCGTCACCCGATAGGATGCTGCTCTGAAGAGTGCCGTGCGGATCGAGCCATTCCATCGTGAATTCCTGCAGCCTGGGGGGAATGCATCCTCCGGCGAGGGGGGCGTCGGTGCGGGGTGCTGGAGGTCTGCCTGCTATTCTTCTCGCGTTGTCCGCGATAACGATCAGGGCGTCCTGGTAGGAGCGCACTGCTTGTCCGCTCCATCAAGCGGCCGCAACGTCAATGACGCTGCTGTCCATCCCTGTGTCTCTAAAGGTTCGCCTCAATACTCTCTGGCCCTGATCTGTGGCGGTGTCCCAAATAAAGGGGGCCAGGATGCTGCTCCAGGTCATGCCTGCGGGCACTCGATCGGAGGCCACGAGCTCGCGTATTCTCCTGACCTCATTGGTGAGGGCTGCGCTGCGCCTCTGCTCGTCGCCGCTGAGCTCGGGGTCGTCGTCTTGTCGGTTGTTCCTGTTGGCTGGCGCTGGTGTGGTTGTCGCCCTGGTGTGGTTGTCGCCCTGCGTGGGGGAGTGGGCGTTCGGGCTTCCGGCCCCAGTGGTCTGCTCAGATCCTAACCTTATTGTGGCGGCCTCGACGACCAACCTGCCTACGGAGCTGTCGGCCCCCATTTGAGCATGTATGGAGCGACCCTCGCGTCTTGCAATGGCCTGCAGCGCCCCACGCATCACCTCCGCCGCTTCCACGGGGGAAGTCCCCCTCTCCCGGCTGCCGGGGGATGACGCATCGAGGAGGGCCTGCTCGAAGTAGCGGCCTCCGATCTGGGCCGC